ATATGAGGAGTTATATAAAAGAATTAAAGAAATAGAGCAGTTTGATCAGAAGGTAAGTAGAACATTTTTTAGTCGTAAATAGATAAAGTATATGTGATCAAAATATCAAGGGGTTCAAGATGAGAAGATGAAGTTGGTAGTTGAAAGAAATGAATTAAAGAACAAGGTTAAGATAAAAGAGATGAAGTGGAATAAAGAAAGAAAAAAATTAGAAAATGAAAAGTTGAGTTTGAAAGGTAGAATCGAGAAAGAAGAATTGAAATAGAATAAAGAAAAACAAGAATGAGAAAAAGAAAAGATAAATTATATAAATAAAGAAATTAGAAAGAAAATAGAAGAAGTAATAAAAGAAGAAAAAGAAGAAGAAGAAAAAGAAGAAGAAGTAATAGAAGAAGAAGAAGATATTTTAAATAGTTTGATAACAATAAGGGATTCAGATGAAGAAGAAAGGTAATAAAATCTAATAATAATAATATAATAATTAAATAATAATATTCAATAATTCATTAAATAGGGATGAAGAAGATGAATTTAGTGAAGAAATAAAATGAATGAATTGTGATATTTTGGATTTAAATGATTATGAGAGTAAGGGTAATGATAAAGAAAAAGAAAAAATGGTAGTAATGAAAGAAGATGAAGAAGAGATTGGTTCAGAAGAGAAATGGGAAGATTGGAGACAATTTGAGTTGGATGATAGGGTTGGAGAAAGTAGTCGTAATCAAAAAAAAATGTAAATATATTATTTTTTTTTTGTTTTAATAAAGGGTATAAAAATTATTATCGTAAAAAAAGTTTTATAAAAATAAAACTTTTGAATAAACTAATAATAAAAGAAAATAAAAGAAGAAAAATAAAATAAGTGTTTAAGAAATTTAAAGTCAATAGCCTTCTAGATACTATAAGGATTGAATAGGATTATGTAGTAGGGATTTGTCACCTATTATCCTTTCTGTATTGGTTAGACATAACAAAATTGTTTATTCTTTATAAAGATTACTAGATACTAAAACTTAGAAATATCCTAAAATATAACCAGAAGAAGAAGTGCTAATAACCAGACTGTTCACAGCTATATGTGACCTTTAAATTTTAATAATACAAAGCTAGTACTTACCAAAATATTATTTATAAATACAGCTATCACTTTATATTATTTACAAAAAAGAGAATAATTATACTAATAAAAGATAAAATATAATATGATATATATATGATTGTTAAATATATATAATGTTCAAAAAGTCATCTCCTTTAGTATTTTAGAACATGATAGAACCTAAAAGAAATGAGACTTTACAGATTATATAGTTTGATTCAGGTTAGAAAAATTTTCAAAATTTTTCTGGCTATGTAGCACAGTAGAAGAAAATCATTTTAAAATTATATTTTTTACAAAAAGTATTTTTAAAGCCTTTTTATATTATGTATTCATAATTTGAGCTCTTAAGTAAAGTTGTAAAAGAGATCTTTCCAGTTCCAACGGATATTAAAACGTTAAAATTTGTCTTGTGGATGACTTTCTATGATGATTTTAAGAAATGCTGAATGTCTCTTTTCTCTTCTTGGGGTTTCTTGAAAATCATTTTTATAGACATTGAAAAATGCTGTCATGACTTCAAAGCTGATTTGCGGATCAGGTAAGCATTTTCTTACTAAGATATAGTATAATAAGAAATCTAGAGAAGGTTTCTGCGAGTAAAATGGCATGTGTATCATCTTTATATGTTCATAACTCATAGAGATATGGACGAAAAACGAAAATCTTCCAAAAATCATTTTTGTAATTTCTTTTTTTATAGATATTTTAGTGTTTCTGTATACAGATTCATTTCTCATTAATAATTTTTAGTATTCCACTAGGGAACAAGTTTTTCTAAGAATGATTAGTACTAATAATAATAAAATAATAAATAATAAAATAATAAAAATAGGAAATAATAAATCTAAAACATAATACTAGCAAAATAAAGAATTCAAATAATCAAATTAAAAGCTAAATAATGTCAAAATGCATATGCAGCCAGCTTATAATATCAAAATCAAAGCTAGAAGATAAAAGTATAAACTTCTTCATAATTCCAAAATTCCAAAAATACAAAATACAAAATATAAAATAATCAATTCAAGTTAAGTTAGTAGAGATATACCTAAAATAATAATTCCAAAAATGCTTTTTCTAATACATCTGGATCTTTGCTAGGATAAATATTCCAATAAATCTGGGTCTTTGCTAGGATAAATATTCCAATACATCTGGATCTTTGCCAGGATAAATATTCCAATACATGTGGATCTTTGCATTAGTCATATTTGCTCAAAAATAACAAACTGCCTTAAAAATGTCTTTTGTTAAAAGAGAGGCCTGGAAATTACCTTCATCCAGGACTTATTCTAAACTAAACTAAACAATAAAATTTAAATAAAATCTATGTTTGTAAAATAATTTAATAACTAACTATACTAAAGATTATAAAGAATATTCATGTCAATATGTCATTATCTCATATATTTATAATAGTCAACTGTCATCTCTTTTGGTATCTCTGACCAGTATACAACCAAAAAGAAATAAGATATCTAAAGGTCATATAATATCATGAGATTTAAAAAAAAAAAAAATTTTAAATTTTTCATCCATATAGCACAGTAAGAGAAAATCTTTTTATGAATTTTTGTTTTACAAAAGTGTTCTGAACATGATGTTGATGATAAATAATCATGTCTTAAGTCCTTAGTTAAAGTTGTAGAGCAGACTTCTACGATTCTAACGGTAATTAAAAAGTTAAATTTGGTTTAGTGGTTAACGTGTTATGGTAATTTACATAAATCCCGAATCTCTTATTTTTCTTTTTTTATCATCTTCAAGAAGGGTTTGATAGACATAGGAAAATGTCATCACTACTTTGGGAGTGATTTACGAGTCAGGGAAGCGTTTTGTATTATGATATGATATAATATAATTTATATAGCAGCTTTCTGTGAGTAGAATGGTATCTGTTTCATCTCTGTAGGATCGAAACTCATAGAGTTATTAAGGAAAAACAAAATGTATCCAAAATCATTATTATAAAATTTCTTTCTCTTCTCTTTTTCTCCTTTTCTAGATGTTGGTACTAAGTTAATAGGTCTTAATACTTAGATGAAAAATGTAGAGGGAGTTTCTACGAATCTAAAGGAGGTGAGTTCATCCAAAACGGACAGATGGGTGATGAGATATTAAGGGGCAAAGTTTGTGTACTGATATTCAAAAAAAGAAAATTTTTAAAGAAATTGTTATAATAATAAAGGAGTTAAAACTTTAACGATTTATAGAGGATAAGGAAAACATTTTGATATTAAGTAACCTATATAGCAAAATATAAAGAAAATGTTCAAGAATCTAAAGAAGGTGAGATTTCGAAGATAGGATAAAAATTCATAGAGATATTAAAGAAAAATGATGATCAACTAATTTTTCATTTCTCTACCAAGGAAGATTTGTTAGATTCGTCCAAAAATTTTTATATTTCTATCAGAAGGCACCAAAATGTTACAGGGTTGCAGCCTTCTTGATACAATATAACCAAGTAACAAGGTCACCCAGTACAGTGATTAACTATTGCAAATATATACAGGGTGGAGGTGTAGTAGTTCACTTTACTACATAGCAGTAAGCAAACGGTTCGAGATAATAACAGTATATAGATTAATTTTTTTATTGACAACACACATAGTGACAACCTTGCCTATAGGAATTACTCTAGAGGGGGAATATCACACTTTTATCATTAAAAGGTCATTATGTTTGGGTTGAAGTATAGGAACTTAGAATTGGCAAGAAAGGGAAAAAGGTATCCTTTATATATCTTTTTATCTAGTGAGAGTAGTGGGGATTGTGTGGGGGTAAGTGGAGTTTATACAGGGATAGTTGGGACAATGTTTATGTATATTTGTTATTTGTACTTGAAATACTTGAAATATGTATCAAGGTACTTGGGTCTGTGCAGGTACAGTTGGGATTGTGCAGGGACACTTGGGGATTGTGTTGAGATACTTGGAATTATGCAGGGACACTTGAAGATTGTGTTGAGATATTTGGAGATTGTTTGTACTATGGTATTTGGCACAGTAAATTGTATTAGGATACATGAAACTTGTATAGGAGTACTTGGAGTTTGTAAGACAATAATAACATCATAGATGTTACCCAATGTCATGTGTCTGTATTACACTTCTAACAGCCAATTAAGATCCTATTTTCTAACTACCATATACTATAATATAACTATACTAATAACTAATAATAAATATAATATAAAATACAATAATAAATATATAACAACTACTAATAATATAATATACTATGCTATGCTAAAAATCTACTTTGTAACACTATTAAAAGAGGTAAGGAATCCAAGTGCCTGTACAAAATCATTTTCGATGTATACTATGACTTTAAATCCTTCATTAACCAATTCTTCTTGCTTTAAAAAGTTTAAAGATAGAAGAAGTTGATTAGATGAATAGGTAACATATTATTGGGCAGAGAAATTTAAAGCCCAATAGTAAATTTGGTTATAGGTATGTATTTTTGGGTCAATAAGTTTTTCTTCGTAGAGCCTTTTATATATTTCAGTTTTTCTAAAATTCCTATTTACATTTTCAGATATCCACGTAATAGTGTTTTCAGGTAATTTATTTTCATGATGAGTTGGTTGTTCGTGAGGAATCAAATGTGAGATTTTAATCCTTACTTGGCATACATTAAAATCAATATTAATTGTAATTTTTCCTTTATATAGAAATCGATTAATTAGGGGTCTTGCTTCACTTATTCTTTTAATTTGTTTAGGTGAGTGTTTGTGCTTTCTATCTATTCTTTGGGTACAGCCAAGATATGCTGATGCTTTTCTGGTATTATTTTTGTATGTGTGAACTTTTCTAACTTCCCAATGATATTGAGACCCAGCTTCAATAAGTAAGAGAAGAAAAGAAATTAAATTACGAATTTTAGTTTTTTAGACATTATTGCTCAACTCTTGGATGTTATTCAACTCTTGGACATTATTTGATTCTTGAATGTTATTTGATTCTTGAATGTTATTTGATTCTTGGATGTTATTTGATTCTTGGATGTTATTTGATTCTTGGACATTATCTGATTCTTGAGGATTATAGATCAATTCTTTCTCAAATTCAAAAGTTTCAGAAAATGTTACTTCTTGATTTTCTTCAATATTTACAAAATGTGTAGTAACTAACTCTTCTAATTCATCTAATTCATACAGAACAGGATCTTTATTATCGTCAACTTCTTCTTCTGTATTACTAACTTGGATAATTTCTGATTCATCTCAAATTTCTGAATTTTCAAGTTCATTAGCTTCATTAATTTTAGGTTTCGAAGGTTTAATTCATTTTTTTGTTAAGCAATCATTGCATCTAGAAAACTCCTCTAGCTTTTTATTATCATTGAGTCTAATAAATTCTTCGAGTCTCTTTCGCTTTGCGCAGCGGGAACATGATTTTATTTGGATATTATCAGTAACATTAAGCATTTTGTCTAAGTATATCATTGATTGTCCTTTTTGATGAAATTCTTAGATATTTATATTATATAATTTATACTTGTTTGTAATAAGTTTTTATTAATGTTAAAAATTTGTTTTATATTCGGAATTTTGGTTTGTTTCTGTAATTTTTTTTATAATTATATTTTTGTTTCTTTATGAAGTTTCATTTTAAATACTAATATTATTTCATTTTGTTATTATTAAGTAATCTTTAATCTAATTAATTAGTCGAAAAATTTTTTTTTTTTTTATTAAACGATTTCGTTTGCAAAAACCTACTCAAAGCAATTGTAATTACAGTTTTTTTATACTGCATTTAATATGCTTGCTAATACAATGTCTTGAATAAATTTTATAAATATATAATTTTCATCACTTATTTTTTTTTTAAAGCTTCATTATATAATTTTATTCTATTATCAATCTCTAATTTCACAAAGGTTGCAATTTTTTCATATTTTATCATTAACTTTCTTATTTGGTTCTAAATTATATTAAAAACCAGTTTTATATCATTTTTATATTTTTTTTTGAGGTTTCATTCCTTTGTTGCACATTATTTGATAATCATATTAACATTTAAATGTAACTTCTTTATTTGGCCATAGCTTATTTTTAAAAACTGGTTTGACAACAATTTTTTTTAATTATTACTATGTGCATTACAACCTGAAAACGAAAATTAGATGTGCACGCGCATAGGATGCAACATAGTATGAAATTCATTTATTAATAATACTACTTGAAAGGGTAATAGAGCCAAATTTTGATAGTATGTTTGTATCTATAATAGACATAGACTTGATTTCTCGAACTTATTTAACTGTATATATATTCAATCATTATTCTAATTAACACTCTCTGTTTAAGGACTTATTTACAATCAGTTCATTTAACAGTAATGTTTGTTGTTAGTATTCGATAAGCATATTATGTTCAGATACTACACAGAATATGGAAAATATCAATTATGCAGATGAAAAAAAGTGTTAATTATCCTTGATCATGTTTCAAATTTTTAATTTTTTTTTTAGATTTTTAATTTATTTTATTTTTTAATTTGATTTTAAAACAGTAATAGACAATAGTGTTTTAAAAAAAAAAAAAATGGTTCTGCTTAATGGGCAGCTAGGATTCATTTAAAAATTGACATTATTAGGTTTGATTTTTTTTTTTTTTTTTATCACATGAATTAGTATTCTTGAAAAGTAATGTGAATAATAATATTTTTGTTCTTTTTTGGTGGTATAGCAAATGGTAGGAAAAGCTGTCAATCAGCCTGAATCGACATTGGTAAACTGATCTATCGCTGTTTGTGGATTTATTTATTGTCAAAGTGATTGTCAATGAATAATGAAAAGACAAATTTGTCAGTCACACATCTTTGCGAGTATTGAAATAAGTTGCATACAAACTAAAAAGTACATAATTTAGCCATTCCAATTTATTGTTTCAATTATTTTAGTGGTTCATTTAACATTTGATTCATTGCTTTAATAATCGTGACTACGACATTAATCCTTATTAATTTATTATTTAATGGTTGGGACTATTGAGTTAAGTAATAATCGCTTTTAAGATGCACAAAAGAAACGTTAAAAATAATTTATCAATGTTACTGCAATATAATGAAGTTCTACGTCTATTTGCTTATGATAAGGTTTATAAAAAAAGATCCAAAAAGCCTACTTGTGTCTTGAAGCTTAATATATATGCTTGGTTATTTTTATTGGTATGTAGAATGCTTCTATGTCTATTTAATTTACCTTTATTAAACATCTTTATTTTCTTTAATTAGAATAAAATAGTGGCATACTTCTATAATCAGAAAGTACATCTTGTTCGATGTTTGGTTTATTTGGGCAGAACATTAATTATTTGTAAAAAAAACGACAGTACAGATAAATTCCATTCATGGCAAGCTACGCTTCTTTTTTATTCTGCTGTATCAAGTGAAGTTTTGGATTTCCTACAAGGCAAGATTAGATTCGTGAGTTCAAAAATAATTATAATTATAATTATAATTATAATTATAATTATTATAATTATTATTATAATTATTATTATTATTATTATTATTATAATTATTATTATTATTATTATTATTATTATTATAAAATTATAAGAACAGGTTATTCCAAATTTTAAATCCTTGAAATAAGTTATTGATCACAAATTTATTATATTTTATTCGAGTTTTTATATCATTATTTATTATATTTAAATTTCATTTGTATTACAATTATCGCTATCTACAATGTTATTTGCGAAATTGGATTCTTTGGTCTAATAAATAAATATTTCAAACTTCACTGCATTATTACGTATATTATTATTTTAACTAATTTGTTATTTGAACTAGAAATTTTCATTAGATTATCAAGCTTTGCTGTAAATATTAGTTTTCTTAGCTCAAATCCAGTAATCTATTTTTATTATCCTCTGGGACCAAATTGATTATTACGATAGCTTTCAAAAATTCGCTGATCTGTATTCATTACATTCACTGCATACTAAACAGTCATGCATATTTGGGATCTTTGCTATAAAATTCGAGATTTTCTGATTGGGCTAATTTGGACAAACTTAAGCTAGAATACCAGTTCTTATTTGCGTACAAACAAAGATCATTAAAATAAAAGATAGTTTATATAAATAAGAATCGCCCGATCAGAAAATCTCGAAGGGTGAATGGATCCCATTTATATTTGGATAAAGAGACTAAACAGACCTTTATTTGGAATTAATATATGTGACTGAAACGTTGTTCGCATAAGTTAAACGTTATTAAGAAAAAATGAAGCCTTTTGGCTTTCTGCAGATCAAAGTTTCCTGAGGCTAAAATCCAAAATAGTAATTAATAAATAAACCTCAATGCCCAAGGTATATTTTCCTTTAGCAATGCATTGTTCGAAACAAACCTTTAATTAAAATTATTGAGTTCTAATTTATTTTTATTTAAACATCTATTAAAACAACGATTAAATCTGTTAGCCAATTATAGTCAAGTGTTAAATGATTTTCATTATATGTGCTTGATAGCCAATCATTGTTAGGATGATCATCATGTGATTGGCTCATATTTGCCACTACTAAGTTACTTAACCAAGTAACAATATTACTAAGTACAGTAATTGACTATTGCAAATATATATAAAATAAAGATATAATAGTTTAATTTACTATACAGTAGTAAGCAAATAGTTCAAAATAGTAACAGTATATAAATTAAACTTTATTAAACAAATACACAGTAATGCGAATAATAATTTTAGTATAATAGTTGGATTGTTATTTTCTAAATAGTAGGTCCAGAGTTCAAATCCTATTGGTGACAGAATTTTGAAAAATAGTTCTATTCTGGCAACTTGAACAAAGTATCTAAAGTTGTAACTTTGTAATTCTGATTATATCAAAACTAACTTTAAAAATATACAATATTATACAAATAAATTCAGAAATTATATACTTTATAAGAGGTTCTTTTTAAAAATCTTAAGTAGAAAAATAGTATAATTTTTGATGATACTATCTGTAAAAATCTTAATCTGAAGAAGAAAATTTGAATTAAATGACTTATATAAACAAGAATCTTTAAATAAAAAGAATTTACCAACTTGGCTATCGATTAATTCAGACATGAAGTCACATTATACAGAACTTACTGAATTGGTAGTATAAAAGAACTTGTAAGATAAATAAGACACTAATAAGATTATAAAAGTAAATATTAAAGTTATATAAACTCTATAAGAATATAGTGATTTAATAGTTAGCTCTAAAAGAACACAAATTGCTAACTCTTTTTGACAATTAATTGTACCAAAATTCTCTAAAGAAAATTTTAATTTTCTTTAACAATTTATAATTAAATACATTCTTAAAACTAAATAAAATTATTCTTCTTGCAAATTTACATATACTTATTAAATTTTATATCAATAACTTAAATATTAAATAAATTAACCAATTTTCTGTAAAAACAACTTCAAACTACTTATACTCAGATTTAGTCTAGAAAACATGTTTTGTTCACTAAGACAAAGTTGTCTAGCTTACTTCAGGCTTCATTTTAATATAAGTTTTATCCAAAACAGCCAAAATTAACCATTTTATAAGCAAAAAACTCCAAACAGTTACTTTTTCTAAATTTTTCTAAAAATTAGTTCTTTTCTCTCTACCTCTCCAAATCTGGATCTCAAACATATTTTAAAACACCTAATTTTACTGGTTCAATTAATTATCAAGCATTTTTAATTATTTTATTTTTTTTTATTTTTTAAATATTAAGGTAAGTACTTGTGACCTAAGATTTTATTGGTAGTATATTTGGCTAATGGATGCTTTACAACTACAGAAGGCAATCATGAAAAGAATATACAACTAGTCACTTATACAACTTTAGTTATTGTTTAATTTAAGTAGTCTGCTCAAAGGTTCTACACTAGCTGTTATACTTGGAATCTGCCTGTAGATTCCCTATTTAACCACTCTAGTTTTTATATCCACCCATCTACCTCTGTCTACCAATGATCCTGGTCGATGCTAATAAAAATATACTATGGCTACTAAGTCTTTAAAGCAGTTCACTTATATAGAGAACCTTTAACTTTGTACTAAACCTTTCAGAATCTTCTGTATTTCATTCTTACAACTGATCTGATATTGCTATGACTGAGACCAATACTGATGATCAGAGCATATCATTAAACTACTATGCTTTTGTGGAGTTTACCTTAACTCCAGTACTGACTTTACAACATATTTCTACTACTTTGGTATTCAATTCAAGTTCTACCAAGCTTTCAAACCAGATAGCTCAGAAAGGCAGATTGTAATCATACATTTCTGGTTTATATGTTTGCTGACATGTAACCTTTTCCTTTGAAATAGATTCTAGCAGCTTGATTGTTTCTATTCAGCCCCTTCTTAAAGGCCAGCTTTGTGTCTAGTTTTATGAGTTCTAGCTCCATTTTATAGGTTTA